CCCCCGGACTGAACGGGGGCCGTTGTCGTTCTAGCTACGACATGGTGCACTATGGCCACTCGAACCAGCTACGCCAGGCTCGGGCCATGGGAGATTATCTGATTGTTGGAGTCCACACGGACGGTAAGAGGTTTTCTCAGCTTTTCGCCTCCTCCTGCCTCTAGAATCGCCCAGCAACGTTAGCCCCGAGGGAACGGAGATCTCCCGGCTGAACGGGGGCCGTTGTCGTTCTAGCTACGACATGGTGCACTATGGCCACTCGAACCAGCTACGCCAGGCTCGGGCCATGGGAGATTATCTGATTGTTGGAGTCCACACGGACGGTAAGAGGTTTTCTCAGCTTTTCGCCTCCTCCTGCCTCTAGAATCGCCCAGCAACGTTAGCCCCGAGGGAACGGAGATCTCCCGGTACAAAGCAGGCTGCTTCCTGCATCCGCTCAGGGAGCAGCAGCCTCCAAAAGAGGAGCGTGCCTTCCCTGGGTAAGGGAGCGGCGTCGCCCCTTTCGCGCTTTCCCGAGACAGGGTTAGGTAGTCCAGAGCGTGCAGGCTTCGTTTGAGGGGTGATCTCTAGTCGGTGCTGTACAAACAATTGAACCAGTTGAAAACCAGTCTGGTTTTGCTGGTGCAAACTGCAGAACTGATATTCCAGAACAAATTACTGTGTGGAGAAAACTCGTTTCAAGCCCGTGTGAAAGTCAAGTGCTAGGAGCTAGTTCTTGGGTGTGAAGATGCATTTTAAATTGGTTTGTGGACGCATGTTTTCTAGCATGAACCACGTGTAGCCTGAAGCTATTGCTTAAAAGGGGAATTTCCCCTTGGGGGCTGCCAGGAGGCCCAGGTTGTCCCCCCCAGTAGGGACCATCTGGGTGCAGGGAGGCACTGAGACCTTTTGCCTTCCAAGTGAATTCCGGGGCCCCTGTTACATGCTTGGGAGATGCAACTCAATTAAAACATTTTCTGATCTAGCTGGGGCTTCCTTCTCTACCACAAACCAATCCCAGGCAGAGGCCCACAGTGAAGTTCACCTGCCCGTGAAATGGGAGAGGCTCCTGTAGGTGAGAGTCTTCACAGCTGTAGTACTTGCTGCTAACTGGGTCTTTCTGTTTCTCGCCCAGAGGAGATTGCCAAGCACAAGGGCCCCCCTGTCTTTACACAGGAGGAGAGGTACAAAATGGTGCAAGCCATCAAGTGGGTGGATGAGATTGCTCCAGGAGCTCCCTATGTCACCACACTGGAAACCCTGGACAAATATAACTGTGACTTCTGTGTGCACGGTGGTGAGTGGTGTTCTGAGGCAACAGTTGGATTAACGTGGGCCTTCTGGGGCTTGGTGCTCATGGTTTCCCCGCTGCAAACCGAGGAACGTTCTGGCTGGTGCTGGCCGTCAGAGGGTACCTCGCGTGCAGAGGTCTGCCTCGCCAGTGCCTGCCCTGGGCAGCACGGCTGCTCCCGTTCTGCTTGCCTGGAGAAACACATCTGTGCATCAGGCACCCTGAGAGTGGCCACATCCCTCGGTTGTAGCATCCCTTTCGCTTGCAGAGGTGAAACACCTTCTCTGACAATTGCCCCGAGGTTGCTCTTAGCACCAGCAGAAATTTGTGCGTGGGGGAAATAATAATAATAATTTACAAAGCTTAAATGTGAAAAACGCTGTTGAAAAGGTAAGTGTGCAGCAATACAGTCGTGTTTATATCCACTTATCCCGGGATGAGATCAGATCTGAAAAGCTGCTCTCTTTATCCTGCTGATAAGCTGTTCAGGGCTGAGCTGGCCGTGTGCTCGGAGACCTCGTTCTTGCTATGAACGCCTCTCAGTTTATAGGCACTGAATAGAACTGGTGTTCTGAGGAACCTGTGTACTCTGTCCCTTCCTGGGACTGCTTCCTTCAGCCTCAGCCCCTCCTCCCTACCCCTCCGAAGGTATTCCATTAATCAGGAGTAGTCTTTGCACTTGTTCCACGTACGCTTCCTCATCTGATCCCAGCCACCTACTATCAATAAGCCAGGTATTTCATTAAATGTAAATAAATCATTAATCTTCTATAAGATAGATAAGCTTTCTCACGTGGACAGGGTGATTATCAAAATCCTTATCAACTCAGTTGCCTTCCCTGGATGTGGGGGGGGGGATGTGACCCCTTACTAGGCTTGGTGAGGGATTATGGCAACAGAGGCGTGCTGGTGGCCTTTGCTCCCGTTGTCCTGCCTTTATCCCCGCTGCCAAATCGTTCAGTACTTGCACCGGAGCAACACCCCTGCATGCTGCAGTTTTGCCAGGCTGTGTTTTTGTCAAAGTTTTGAAATAGCTGAGCTTATCCGTGAGGGCAGCAGACAGCAAACCCTGCCTCTGCCCGGCCCAGGCGGCTGCGCTTGCGAGGTGGTCTCTTCTCTTGTCCCCGTGCCCTGCGGTGAGGGTGGGGGGGTTGAGAAAGCCCCAGCTTCTCCGAGCCTCCTGACGGTGTGAGAGCACGCTCGTCAGCTGCCAGCGCCTGCGCTGTTTTGCCACGTGAAAGCCAGTCTGGGTTTTCACTTGTGAAGGTTTTATACCGTCCCTACAAGTAGGTGAGCAGTGTTTTGGTAGAGCGGTTTGGGGGCCAGGCACAGATGAACTGGAATTAATGCTGTAGCGGGGTAGCTCGGTGTCGCTGTAGAAGTGCCGTCACTGGGGGGAAGCGCTGGCTGTCGGAGGACTGTTTAACTGGCTGAAAAAGTCATGATGTGAACCAACGGCCAAAACCAGTCCTGGAGGAGCTAAGGTTAAGGTGCTTTTTAGTACTGCGGCTGATGGTGGCTGTTTATTGTCATTCAGCCCGTAATTTAGTCGTGCCTGCTGCTGGGTTCACTGCAAGGCGACCGGCTCAGATTTTCTGGCCTGTCTAAAAGCAGTGGTTAACGATGCTTAGCATCCGTACGCCCGTCTCCACAGACAGGGAGGGTGCTCTTGCAAACCCCTGGCGTTTCCGTGGGATGCAAGGTGTATCCCACATGTGGGCACAGGGATTCGGATTGCCTGGCTCATGCGCTGGACCTGCTTGGCTTCTGCCGTCGTTATAAAGCAGCTCTTGTGCAGGGGGCCTGGAGCGCAGTGCTGAGGCTTTTCTCTCCCTGCAGACGACATCACCTTGACAATAGACGGCAAGGACACCTATGAGGAAGTGAAGACGGCAGGGCGATACAGGTAACCGCTGCTGCCTACCTTCTTACCCTCTTTTGGGCAGAGTTTCTGGGAGTTCATGCCCCACAGGGAGGTCAGATGAAGCAAAGCTGCCTTAGGTCAGGCTTTACTTTTGCTGTAACGTGTGCCAGAGCTCCAGTTGCTCCCACCATTTTGGCTTCTGGGAAGCGTCACAGGCTGGCAACCGACTGCCAGGGCCTTGCTGTGCCCGGCGGATGGTAGCTCTGGTCCTGAAGCCCCACGGGGGGTTGGCTCTGTGGGGAGTTTGTGCAGGGTGAGTGTTCCCCGTGTGAGCAGTCGCTGTGGCGTTGGAGATGCAGAGGCTCGGCAAATGAACGCTGCACTTTATGCCATGGGCAGGTGGAAGGAAGACGTTCTTGGGACAGTCCCTTGTTTGGATTTGTCGGGTGTCATGGATGTTCCTGCAGTAAAGGTGGGAAGAGAAAGAGGCAAATGCTCCTGTGGCTTCTGCTTTATCCTTCGCTTGTCTCCCTGCAGGGAATGCAAACGCACCCAAGGTGTGTCCACTACTGACCTCGTTGGCCGCATGCTGCTCATGACTAAGGCGCACCACAGCAACATAGTGAGTCGGAGGGCGCTGGGTGGGAGTTTGGAGTCCAGGACGTAACCCAGCTCTTTCCTTTTGCTGTCCCAAATAGCGGGGGAGCTCCTGGGCCTGGCTCCTAGGTGCACGGAAGACTGGCAAGCTGATTACGGGCAGCAGCAGCAAAACACCCTGCTTATGTTTGCTTAAGCCCGTCTGAGATCAGTGTGATCTCAGCCCACGCTGCTTTGGAAAGGGGCGGGGGGTAAAAGCTTCAATCCCTCGTGATTGCTGTGGGCTTTGGGAATGCTATGGGAACTACAGGCTGGCCTGCGGCGTCCCTGAGGGTGAAACGGCACAGTGCGGCCACGCTGATCTGTCCACCCGGTGCTGCCAGAATTGGAAAGGTCTCTTCCTTCCCACTGAGCTGTGTGCTTCTGTCTTCTGCTGTCTCTGGTCCTATCAGGCCCTTCTTGAGTCTCCTCCGCTCACTGCCTGCTAGACAGCTAGCCGAACTGAAATAAAATACAGGAAGTAGTTTTATGGTGGTTAATGAGTTGAATTGACTCAAGCAGTCCAGTGAACGGCGTCACCTGTGTACCAGCGGGGACAAGACGAGGGACCCAGGAGCGAATTTGGGGGTAGAGGGAGACCTTTTGGCACGCTGAGCTGTTAGGTTGGCTTAGCCGCAATACCCAAGTTCACACCAAGATCCAGCACAGCTGCCGGCAGAGGTCTGAGCCCGTCTCCAGTGGAGTGTCTTTGGAAGAGGGAGGGACGCTGCCCTGTTGGGGGCTTGTGCAGCTGAGGGAGGACATAGATGTGCAACGTTATCAGGTCTGCAGGTTGGGCAAGAACCCCCCGTCACTGTGTGGGGCTGGGATCAGATAAGGACACGTTTCATCTGACTCATGCTGGGGCACGACTCTGGTTTAGATATTAACTGGTTTGTCAGCATTCCGTGCCAGGGATCAATGGTGCACAGCCCGAGCCTGGACTTCCCAGTGCTTCTGCCACACACAAGCATGTTCTTGGTTGGATGAGCTGTGTGAGTGCTTAAACATTTTGACTCTTTATCTCCCTTCAGGATGAGGACCTAGACTATCGGAAGCACACTGACAACTTTGGGAAGGTAACGTGAGTTCTGGTCATGGACGTCTTGTTGTTGTCCTGTCTGAGAAGGATTCCAAATGTGCTCTAAGGCCTGTGTTGCAGGATTGTGGTTTTTTCCCCCTACATTTAGTAGTAACCTCAGTAAATGCCTGCTGCCCCCATAAAGTAGCTGCTGTAGTCAGTGAAACAGGGACGTGTGGCTGTACAGGGCCAGCGAGTGAACTGTCCTTCAGTGGCACCACAGAGCTGCTGCGCCCACGGGGCCTTTGCTGCTTTTCTGGCTTGCTTGTCAATTTGTTATCGCCGCTTCCTTTGGGACCCAGTGCCCACAGCTCCAGCCTAGGGACGGCCTCTGTGGGTGCTGCTTTTAGTGCTCATGTTTTTAAAGGTGTCGCATTAGGTCTGGGAAGCATTTACGTAGCAGGCACGTAGCTAGCGTGCTGCGCTGCAGAACTCGCGTGCCTGGTCTTCAAGCAGCAGAGCAGTCCTGGGGCGCTCTGCCATCATGTCCAGCTCATGCCTTGGGCCACCTCTAAAGAGCCGTCAGCCCCCCCCCCCCCTTTTTTTTTTCTCCTGGCTGTTGGATTGTCCCTGATTAACGAGCACCTGGACCTACAGCTTGAGTAAGCCTTTTTTACTCACAGGGGGTTTGCTGACCAGGCTGAATCATCCTCTTTGTTCTCCTCCACATTGGGTTTTTTGGGCAGGCTTTACGGGGCTTGCTGCTCCAGCATGGCTGCTTCCCAGTGCTTGGATCTGGGGAGGATACCTGGGCACCAGGTACCCTGCATGAGCCCCCTTCTGCTTGCTGCCGTTGTGTGGCTTGCCTTGGTCCTGGCTGAGTTGAAGTTCTAGCTTCAGGGGAGTGAAGCAGGGCTGGAGCGGGTGACTCGGTGGCTGTTTCCCAAACTGCCGCATGGCGGGGGTAAAGCTCCATCTTCGGTTCCGCCGGCGCTGGGATCTGGCCCTCGCTGGAGCTCCGGGTGATCCCTTCCCAGCATGGCGTGCCGTCGGCCAGGTGGACGCCTAGGCTGCCTGAGGGCTGGAGAAGGGCGTAGGTAGTCGCGTGTTGTTGCCCGCAGTAAGCCTTGCCTCTCCTGGAAATCCAAGACTGCCGTGCTGCCTTCCTCCTTCCTCAGCTTCCTTCTTGGCATCTCCTTAGCTGGCTGTTGAGGGGACGATCCAGACCGTGTTTGACAGAGCAAGAAGGGCTTTCGTGAGATTGCGCGGATACTGGGTGCCAGGAGTGTGGAGTGTCCAGGCTGCTGAGACTTGTGGTGCTTGCTAGCGAGTGGAGGCCGGCACATTGCCTGCAGCTGCGTTCTGCGTGTCCAGACCCACTCCTGGGGCCTGAAGAGGAAACCTGTGTGGTCTGTGTTTTCCCAGGGGCCAAAAGGTCACAGTCCCTGGACTGGCGTCTCGCAGTTCTTGCAGACATCTCAGAAGATCATCCAGTTTGCTTCAGGGAAGGAGCCACAGCCAGGGGACACTATCATCTATGTGGCCGGAGCCTTCGACCTGTTCCGTATCCTTGACTCTGTTTTGTTGAGAAAGTAGTGTTGGTCTTTTTGTTTGATGTTTTCATCTTTCAAGGCACCAGACTTGGACATTTACCTCTCTTTTTTTTTTTTTTTAACCTTTCCTGTAGGTGTGCGTGTGAGGGGGGGGAGGCAGGAGTTCTCACTGGCAGTTTCTTAGTCACAGGGCACTGAGAAAGGAGCCCCAGCTCCTCTCTGGAGGGGTCTGTGGCTGTTGCGAGGTACCCTCCACACTCCAGCAGTCCCACTCCGGGCCGTTTCACGGACTGGCTGTCATAGACCAAGTGCCTGCACGGGGAGGGCATCTGGAGCAGATGCTTCATCCCTGGCACAGTCTTTGAGGTGTTGTGCCAGAATACCCAAAACAGGCAGAAATTCTGGACAGGGGCGAAGCTGAGTCCATGTAAGGTGGAGCTGGAAAGACGTCTGGCTTTTGCCCAGAAGCTGTGGAGCCTGAGGAGGGAGGCAGCAACTGTTCTTGGGGCACAGGCAACAAGTAATGCAAAAACAAAATCCTTGGGATGCCTGTCTCCCACGGTGGTTTTTCAATGCTATTTCTGTCTTCCTTTCCCAGTTTTCCATGTTAGGTTCAATTCCTTAAACAGGTCTACAGACATTGGACATGTGGATTTCCTGGAGAAGGTTCACCAGCTGGCAGAGAAACCCTACATCATCGCTGGGCTGCACTTTGATCAGGTCTGTGTGTAATGCTGCCCAAAGAGAGAGCAGCAGCTCTTTCTGAAGGAAGCAGGCTGTGCTCTGAAAGGCAGGGGAGAGATCCTGTACTGGGCAATGCAGGGTCTCCGTGCTGGGAGAAAGTGAGAGGAAAAGGGGGTGGCTTCGTCTCTCTCCTAATTGTGCCTGGTGCTTTCCCGTAGGAAGTAAATCGCTACAAAGGGAAGAACTATCCCATCATGAACATCCATGAGAGAACACTCAGTGTCTTGGCCTGCAGGGTAGGTGCCCCCACTCTGTTCCAGAAATTGCCTGGAGCTCGATGGTGTTCGCCTGTAGCCAACAGTCCTGTGCGAGGTCTCTGGTGTGCACGGAGAAGGCAAAGACAAGACTGATGGCGTTGGGCTGCCAGGGGTGCTGGTGTGCTCTCGGGGGGGAATCCCTGGGCTCCTCTTGTCCTGGCTGACCTGAGCTACCGAGCCCGTCCACCGTGAGGAGGCGGGATGCCTTACGGAGTGCTGCTCTGTTCTGTGGCTGTGTTCTTGTGGGAAACTCTGCCTGCTGCAGCAGGGGAGAAAATTCCTGGGAAAGAAATGCGGGGAGACCCAGAAAGGTGTGCCCTGAGCAACTGTTGCATTTGCTCTGTGCTCTACCAGAAAGCACATTCTTCAGTGGAACAAAAAAGTGCTGCGTGACAGGCAGTAGCTGCTGTACCCACTTTCCTGTTCCCTTATTTGAGTCCCTGACTCTCTGACCAGGTGACCTGGCCAAGTCTCTTTAGGAAGCCGGCTGGCCTCTGGTTTGGGTCTTTTTATTTATTTTTTTTTTCCACACGTCAACTCTTCACCTGGTTTCTTTTCTAGTATGTCTCGGAAGTGGTGATTGGAGCCCCCTATGCTGTCACGGCCGATCTGCTGGATCACTTCAGGGTGAGAGTCTTTGCGTATATGTAGATGTTGGGGTCCAATGTGCTTAAAGAGCTAAAGTGGTGCAGGAGAACACGGGGGCAGCAGAGAGGTGCTCCCGCTCAGCAGGATTGCAGGGAGCTCGGGCTGCGCTGCCAAGCCTGGTACAGGAGGGGCGGCTTTGCTGATCTCCAGATGCGCTGCAGTGAGTGCCGCGGCAGGGAAAGTCCCTGTCACGTTTTGGATCTCGTCAGCGGCTTTGTGTCCTCTTCCAGGTAACGCTTGTGTGTCATGGGATGACTGAGGTGGTGCCAGACAAGGATGGGTCTGATCCATATGAGGTAAGCTACCAGCTGCTGTTGTCCATGCTTCTTTATCAGCATTTGATAGGTACAGCATGGCTTTGTTCACATTGCTTTGTTTGTGTTCCCGAGCCGAGAACGCCACCTGAGCGAGTCCTTGGCGGGTGATGCTGGTCTTCACCCCCCCTGAGGGGAGCTACCTGGAGCAGAGCCTGTAAATCATTCACAGTGGCTCCATTCACTGTTTTGTTTTGCCTGTTTCCAATGCCTTCATGGCAGCGTGAGAAACCCTGCAGCCTTCGCTCTGTGCCCGTCCTGTGCAGCCTTGCTCAGCTCCCATACACGTGAAGCCTTGCTTTCAGCAGGTACTTACGCTGCCTCCTAGGAGATCACTTTGTGCTGTGCCTGACCGGGCACCCACAGGACCTGCCATGACTTCTGCTCAGCTTTCACTCCCAGGCTGTAAGCCCAGAGGTCCCACGTGTTTTTCACAGCTCCGGCTGTTGTGTTTGTTCACAGGAACCGAAGAGACGTGGCATTTTCCAGCTGGTGGACAGCGGCAGCAATCTCACCACAGATTTAATTGTGCAAAGAATCATCAAGAACAGGTTGGCTTTTTTCATCTCCCGGTTCTGTCGTGTACTGTTCCGTCCAGCTTGTCTGGGGACTAATGAATGGGCTCAAACGGGAAGAGAAGGGCTTATCTAAAGGCACGGAGTCGGTGAGCCGATCCCTCGTCTTCCACAGCTTGGGCAGGCTGCTTAAATGTGGATGTACTGGACTGTACAGGAAAAGGAGCAGCCGAGCTCTCTGTGTCAGAACGTGCTTCACAGCACATTTTATTATTTTCCTCCTCCTCTATTAATCATAAAATTTCCTTGCTGTGTTCGTGGGGGTTTAGCATGTTGCTTCTTTGAGAGCTTTGTTCTTTTAGGCCCGAGCCCTTCACCTTCGGGTGACCGTGGCTTGTGTCAGTGCTAAACTTTATTTTGGTGTTACGACAGTCAGGGTAGGCAGTGACAAGCATTAATAGCTGTGTTCTGCAGAGGGAGGAGTAAGTAGTGTTTAGTGTGGAAGCCCAGGGCTTCGGAGTGGTGATGTTGTGGTTTAACCCCAGCTGGCAACGAAGCATCGCCCAGCTGCTCACTCACTCCCCCTCCTCAGTGGGATGCGGGAGAGAATCGGGGAAAAAGGGAAAACCTGTGGGCTGAGATAGACAGTTTAATAAAACAGCAGAGGAAAATAATAATGGTAAGAGAATATACGGAATACACAAAACAAGTGGTGCACAATGCAATTGCTCACCACCCGCTGACC